CATGAAGATGTGCAAAATCAAGGTAAAACATGTCAGCTCTATGGGTGTTGTGTGCAATAAGACTTTCCTACAATCAGGGCCCAACCAAAAAACAACAACTGCAGTTTTCAAGAACACGCAGATGTGAAACCGCGATGCCTGCTTCGCTGTCTCGTCTCGATCATCGAAGAACTCGGCTGCCCGCCGCGTCTGGCCATCCTCTCGGCTGACAGCTCGTAGAGAAACAGTGTACGGACGTTGGGGCGAACCCTAAACCCTAAACCCTAAACCCTAAACCCTAAACCAGACCCAGACCCTAGAGCCCCAAAGCCTGTAAAGTAAAGCGCTGACACCCTCAGCCCGAAAAACCGTCAAGCCTCTTCGGGGTTCAGTAAAAGTCGCGCTTAGGGTTGATAAGTTCTGAACGAAAGCGCGGAGGGCCGGGAATGTCATGTTCTCGTTCTAGCCTCTAGGGTTTGGGACCTAGAGTTTGGGTTTTGTTAAGCCTAAAGGCTTTAAGTTAACGGTATAAGGAATACAGGTCGTTTCGATTCATGGGACGGCTCTTTTGTGGTTTCGACTCCACAAAACCCTTCGGCCTCTCAGCACCTAAACCCTACACCCTATCCCTTAACACAAAAAAATTATGACACCTAAACCCTCAGGTCAAGATGCCACAGTCGACACCCTCCACCCCGAAACACAACCCGTGACCTATCTGACCGTCCCTTGTTAGTTTAAACAAGACGGAGGGGGCCGCCCCTGTTGGATCGCAGTTCAAGTGACGCTCTGAAGCTCCTGACGACTCGAGCTTCGGAGCTTCAGAGCTGCAGAACGAAAATTCCTGAACCACCCCTGGCGCGCAATCCGGCTGCTGCACTATTAGAAGGATCTTGTGTCTAAGTGACATAGTTTGAAGATTTCGGAAGCTAGGTGAAGTGGCTTGGACTTGCAAAAACTAATCGTGTGCCCTTAACCCTAAACTCTAAACTCTAAACGGTACTTGAGGCTCAGCCTCGGATTTGGAATGAAGGCTTTGGTTCGTTCGGGCAGCATCACTGTGAAGCAAGAGTCCTGGAGGCAAAGTTGGCCGGCTTTCCACGAATGGGTCGTGTCCAGTCGGGCGAGAAAGGCGAGACACTCTATCGCCGAGGTTCTGGGCCAGTCAGGGTTCAGGATTTGGGTTTTGGGGATTTAGGTGCTCACCAACTCGCGAAGACGTGACGCATACATGGTCTCGATTTCGGACTACATCGGGCATGAAGTCGCCATCAAGAACAAGGGCACATGAAAGCACCCACAGGTCTCAACATGCTGAGAGAACTCGTGCTGATGTGGCACAGCCTTTATCGCCCCGAGACGGCTTGGCGTTGCAAGTGTACCAACCCTACTTTATCGAAACCGGTGATGGCACACAGATCCATCTCCATGCGATGCTGAAGAGGAGCAGGTCTCCGATCTGCTCGTAGAGCACAGCTGCATGCCCATGCTTCACCGCCCTGCGAAAGAGGTCTGCTGATCGTCTCAGACAAGGCTGGCCTGCGTGTGGCGGCACTCTGCTCTGCAGCTCAGGACCACGTGATATCGTCATGCATGACTGGCTATGCAACATGGTACTAGCATGATGATGGCGATAAATGTGCTTGTGAGATCGATCGATGATGAAGGCTATGACTGCGATACTGGGGGTGGTGAGGGTGAGGTGAGGCTGAGGTGAGGCGAGGGCGAGGGTGAGGGTGAGGGTGACGCTGAGGGCAACCGCGAGGGTGATGATGATAATAACGACGATGGTGATGACGATGGCTCTGACAGATGATGATTGGCTGATGATCAGGGTGGTGGCGATGAAGATGCTGACGATGGTGGCAGTGTGATGTTGCTCGTGATGGTGAGGAGGAGCAGGAGGAGGCGCAGGAGGAGTCGCAGCAAATGTTCTAAGATGAGCCGATGATGCATCCTCTGACAGTCAAGCACACGTCGGAGTTAAGATCGACTGTGCGGTTGGCTCTTGGGCTGAAGCCCGGATTTCGGGCTTGGATAGGGTATCGGATGCTTGTGTTCCGGTGTGGCTCTCTTTAGCTTGTTCAGCACGGCGCATCCTTCACGCACTTCTTCTTTCTCCTCATGCGATTTCATGCGAGTGAGAATGCTGATCGTGGTGGTCGTTGTGCTAAACATCTCTAGGGGCATTGCATCCCAAGGCCCGTTGGCTCAAGCCGAAAGTCTGGGACCTTCGGCTACCAGGCGATGTAGGGGTTAAGGTCCACGACACTGAGATCCCTGGTTTAAAGCCGACGAGCTCCAACTCTGTCCTGTATGTTTTAGCGTTTAAGGGTTTAGGGTTTAGGATGTGTTAGGCCGTGGCTCAGGCAGCCAACGACTAAACCCAACACTTAATTCCAACAACGAAGATGTGGCGGCCTGCGTCGCCCCGCAGCTTGCCAAGGGCTTTGTAACACTCCGCGGCTTCTTCCAGAAGCACCTCTTAAAGTCGCTTTGTACGATTTTCAACGTTTAGAGCTTAGGGCGCGACGGCTTTGAGGTTGATGGAATAGCTCTCTGGAATTATGAAACTAAGTACGGCACCTGCATAGAAGAACACCCCGGGATGAGTCGCTTCATCCCTAGCCCGAGCTGTTTTCGGCGGAAGGCCAGAAGGCTCCAGGTAAAACAATCTGGAGACCCCTTATCCGGTCACAAAATCTGAATGTCTTGCGACCTTGAACCCTATGCTGAATCCACTATTGGGTCAGATCAATCTACCAAATTCTGGATGCCTTCGGGAAATGTAGGGGCCTAGTTATTACCAACCCTTTTCTTGGGGGGATCCTTTCTATGAGTATAATGTAAAGAAAACCTATTCTAATGACAAAGGCCACTAATATCGAACCCGATTACTAACGTCCCCTCTAAACCCGTTTAAGGACCCCCTTTAATTAAAGGGCACCCATGTGTACCCTATTAACCGGAATGAGGACCCCAATATTGTTGACTAAAGCCAGCTGGTAGTCCGGAGTACCAGTTGCGAGATCGATATGCGTTACTATAGGGTCCTCAATAATTACGAATACTATTTTGGGATTCCTTGTTCAAAGAAGCTGAGAATACCCTAGCCCAAAACAGGTTAACCTTTTCAATTATGGTAGGATTATATAAACCCCAAAAAACTAAAGGCAACCTACTCAGCTACTAATTCTCATACAGTTCTACTTGTGGTATAACCTACCCCAAGAACTATTCCAATTATCCAGGCCGTTAGGTAACTGATCTGCTGCTATCACCATGAGCTAGCAATGAACCTCCAATTTTGGCTCCAAGCAGCAGGTTGAGTTTCATCTTGCCCATGCCGTCGTACAGCCTGAGGGGGTGACGGAAGGCGTTGAACGAACGTATTCAGCCTTCGAGGCCTCAGCGACTTGAGGTGTAGGGATTAAAGGTCTAGGGTTTGGGGATGAGGTTGGGGATAGGAGCGGCCAGCTGGGTTAGAGACGATCGGGTTCATCGAAGTTCAAGTCAAGCAGGGCATTGCACGGCTTACTGACGCCAGCACAAGTTCGGGGGCCATCGCCCGAGTAGGGCGTATACTTGCTACATGTGCTATCATGATGAAGGACTGGAAGTTAGTGCCGTCTGTTCAGGAAGCTTCGATTTGGGGCAGCACGGGCAGAGAACTTCATGCTCAATGTCCGGCACGTCCGAACTTTCGTGGGCTTGAAGACTGGGAGCCTAAGGCTCAGCGTTTCGAGTTTAAGTAGGCTTGAGGCTTCGGGCTTAGTAGCAACAGCAGTTGTCACGGCGCAGCAGTGCTGACAACCGAACTCTTCAGGACTATCGACGCTAAGTTTCGGGTGGCAAAATGGGCTGTTGGATGAGGGTTTAGGGTTCAAGGCTCAAGCCCCAGGTGCTGTCTAAGACCTTAAACCCCAAACCTCAAACCTCAAACTCCCGTGTCCCCGGCAGGGATTGCTGTGGCTGTAAGTCTGAGCTCAAAACCATGTCATAGAGTCTGCATCTTCGAGAGAAAACTTCCTGGGTCGAGGGTGCACCCGCCCTGAACACCGAGCCTTGTATGGCATACTGTTGGTTTAGGCTTTGGGGAGTGTTGCCTTTTTCGTTTAAGTGCAATGGTCTTTCTGTATGCCCGCACAGGTCACGACCCACTACTACTACCATCATTCTTCGGAAAAGACGGCGAAAACAACCAGCCCAAGGTTTAAGGCCCCGGGATTCAAGTTCAGGGTGCCCCTGGGACTTGAAGGCCACAATGCGTAACCTGCCCATCAAAATTACAGACATCAGCATCATAGGACCTGGCAGTGGCTGCGAACACATGCCCTAGATCATTATCGGGGACAGTGTCCACGGTTTCGGTCTTGCCCAGTTTTTTTTTTGCGCACCCATGAAACCCTACTGATGAAAAATAGAGATCAGGCAAAGCGTTCAATGCGAGCAAAGCCACTTCGGTCGGGGCCTCAATTTTTCCGAGAGCCGCAGCCGCCTGGATCATGAACAGGTTGGGCTTTGGTGTCGAGTTACGAGTTGAAAAGTTCAGGGCTTCGGTCCAAGCTCTTGAACCTCAAACCCGTCTCCAAGCAAAACCGTGACTTGCTCAAACCATGAAATCTCAACCCAGGCAAGAGTGCGAAGCCGGACCGTAATGTAGGGGCTTTAATAATGAGAATAGGGTTTTGGGGCCCTTTATAGTATACTTGTAGCAAGGGACCCCCAAAATAGTATAGGGATGGATCGGATTGGAGTCGGACTCGAGCTTCAGGCCGCGTTGTGCGGCACGGGAAAGTGCGTCCAAAAACTCATGCACTTCTAATTTCGGGAGCGTGCACTGAGGACAGCTAAAGGAGTGCAACAGCAATCGCTGGAAAAGCTGTGTTTAACATCGCCTTCGATCAAAAGCTTTCCCACCTCTAGAAAAGATGAGCTGAAGTCCAGTCGACGCTACCTCCCTGAGTACCACGAAAAGTCATGCATCGAACATCTTCAGACAAGTTGTTCGGCAAGATGTGTCAAGGGCCACCAGGGTCAAAGCAGCGAGGACACAGCAGCGCAGCATCAGCCCCAGGCAGCATACCCAAAGAGGTCAAAGGTCGGCGATCATTCGGTACCTCAAGCTTGTAGACATGCATAGAAAGCCGTCCACCCGGATGCGCCGTTTGCCACATTTCATCTCTGCTTTCGGCACAATCCAGAACACATGCTGCCCCACGCAGCAAAACCGTCACCATGCTGGTTATGGTTCCCAGTTCGCACAACATTCCGAGGAAGGGCTCCCACATGCCTTTCCAAGCAGCCGTGAGACAAGGAGCATCATGCAGCTGCTGAAGTAACATTCGCCCGTGCTCTTGGTCACAGCATGTATTCCCAAATGGGCCATCATGTTGCCTGACCACTTGCTGAACATGAATGGGACGCAACGCTGGCCAAACGCTACGTTGTCAGTGCAATGGCCGTACCACGATGTCAACGACGCATTCCTGTCACACGTCTGTGTTTGGTCGCATTAGCATAGATCGGTCAAGGTCCTAAAGAGGCATCTTCCCCGGTCCGCAGCGCAGCAGCTGGAGTAGCAGCAAGTCTGATGGTTTCCACCTCCATCTCCTCAAAGTGTTTGATGTCAGCCGTGTGCTTGCTCAACTCCGATCCTGTACGCAGCTGCAGATGTTGCCGCAATGATATCGCTACATGAGGCTTGTGTTGTGGAATCACCATGCTGACATGCCAACGAAGCTCATCCGTTGTCAAGACGAACCCATTTCCCCCCGGGGCCATGGCTAGGGTTCTGGGGCGCAACGATGTTCCCCGCTGCGGGGCGATTTGGGCCCTCCAAAATAGTATAGGTAACTAATTAGGCTTCTATAGTAGCTCTGCATGCTGAAATCCCCCAATGCCTGAGAGCCTGATCGCTGATCCCTCAGCCGACGCTTCGAAGCAAACACTACCCGGAGGACCATAGGACTTAGGAAGTATTATATGGTTAAAATGTACCTTACTCGGGGTTATAAGTAGCTATGAGTACAGCTACCCTGCAACCTCAGTTAATAAGTCCCATGATCCTTTGAGTACCAAGAGCAGTGACACCAGCAGCTAAGCGAAGGACTAACAAGCACAGCAAAACCAGTAGGTCTGATGGACGAAATCCTGCGTCGCTCTTCTGCCTGTCACCCATCCCTTCCAGGCCCTGAACCTAATGTTTTAACATTGCTGCCAAAATCTCTCAAAACAGGCATGGATGCGAACTCCTGCTGTCTGTCACGCGTGATTTTGTCTACCGGGTAGACTCTACCCAAGACTTATTGTTGTGACTATGACGAACACGATGATTTCGGCGATTATGGTGACAATGATGACGACGAGGATGACGATGTGGTGATGATGATGATGATGATGATTGTTATGATGACGATGACGAGGATGACGACGACGGCGATGACGAAGAAATCATGCAGTCGCCACTGGCCGCCGCTGCCACGACATCAATAACGACAAACAGGAGAATGCTGAAAATATCATCACCACCATCATCATCGTCTGGCGGTTCGGGTTTGCATGATCCACGTGTGCAACCAGCTTGCTTGTCCCACATCTTGCTCTATGTACTTACAAGAGCAAACCTCCCAAGATGACAGGCCACTGCCAGCCAGACGAAATTGGTGCAAAAGTGCCCTTTCGGAGCTACATGCTCTATCAAGTGCGCTTCGCATGCGAAGCCGGAAGCCTAATCTCTGAACCCTGAAACCTCAGTCAAATCCGGGAAAACGTAATTCCTAGAACCAAACTCTCGATGCTAATCCCTGAGCCACTGGGCCCTAGACCTAAGCCTAAACCCTAAACCCTAAACCCTAAACCCTAAACCCTAAACCCTAAACCCTAAACCCTAAACCCTAAACCCTAAACCCTACACCCTACACCCTAAACCCTTAAACCCAAAGCCACATTTTTTGCCGTCCCCTTGCCTCAGCGTAATCACCGGCCTCCTCTGAGCAGTCTGCGGCTTGGTAGAAAGCACGGCACTCGCGGAAGGCAGAGGAAGCCTGGTTTGGGGTTCAGGGTTTAGGGTTTGGGGTTCAGGGTTAAGGGTTAAGGGTTAAGGGTTAAGGGTTTAGGGTTTTTTTTTAAAGTGCAATGGAGCGGACTTTACGACCATCCCAGCCTCACGAGGCCTACACTAGTGAAACATAGCCTCTCAGTCAACATTTCCACCATCGGCATCATTCACCACGTTCACGACATTCTCAACCGTAGTATCGTCAGCATCACCAGGCACATCCAACGAGCTACCCACATTCTCAGACACTCCATCATCAGACACCCCAGTTGGAAGAGGTAGTAGGGCAGGTACAGCTGCCGGAGGAGCATGGGCAGGAGCACTGGGTGGAACGCAAGGGCCAGGAGCAAGATCTGGAAGATCACTTGCTGGACCGACATCTGTTGGCTCCTCCTCATCCTCAACATCGCGGTCCGCGCCCTCCCGAGAGTCGCCATCCACATTCTGCATATCCCCCGCATTCGTGGACACCGCCTCACCCTCCGTAGGAACATCTGTGAGCCCTAAACCCGAAATCGGGTTGCCCACCTGACCAGCAAGGATCCCCCAGAGGTGAGTTTCTCTGAAAGTGGGCTCCTCACCTCGAAGGCCACGACGCAACCGAACGTAGTCCCAGGTATGTTGGAAATTCCACCCCGGGTCCCCTGGCTAGGCACTGCTGGCCTTGTAGAAGACGGAGCCGAAGGCCGCGGGCTTCTGCTGTAGGGTGACGTTGACGGTCTCGGGTGCATCCTCCATGGTGGTGTAGGTCGTCCCAGGCCAACCCTGCCTCACCACGCGGCTGCCGATACCGGTCAACTTGAGGGCTAGGGCCAGCAAGGACTCCGTTCGCGCGTAGCAGGTGCCAGACTTCAGCCACTACAAGCCCCGCAATGTGGTGAGCAAGTTGTAGTTCCCTTTCTGTCAACCCAGCACCATGAAAGGCAGGTACATCACCAACTCCCGCGCCTGGAGTCTCATCCACTGAATCATGCTCCAGCACTTCCTCCTCATGGATTTGTCGTCCCAGTGATCGTCTGCCACCCCCAGCCCTGTTGTGTAATTATCTTCACGGTCGCCAAGCGTGTCTGCATTCATCCCAAGGCTGGTATCACCCCTTCCAGATTCTGGTTCACCATCGACAGTCCAGTTCACCTCTTCAAACTCCAAACTCAAATCCTCAGTTGGCGCTACCTCTGGCACCTCCGGTCCCACAACGTCCTCCGTAGTATCGTCCTCTTCGCCCCGGGGCCGAGTTTCACCAGAAGGTGTTGTGGTAGTGGTCGAGGAACTCGTTGTAGTTGGGCCACCCATGATTTCTGCAAGGATCCTGTCCGTCTCTTGCAACTCCTCCCAGCTTGGCGTGCGCGGTATTCCAGGCTGAATGACTGGCGTGGCCGGTATGACCGGAGTGACGGGGTTGCCCTGCTCGTCAAAGAGCGTTGTCATCCCATAATGAGTGGTAGCCCCCGGTATGAGATGGAGGGGCTGCGGAGTGGTCGATCGAGGTGGTAGGTCTGACACTGCGGGCCTCGGGGTCACAGGCTGCATCGGTTGAGAACTCCCCGGGGGCGGTGGCCTCATTGCAGTACTCATCGGCGCAGTCGGCGGCGAAGTGGAAGCAGTACCCCAGCAGCGTGCCCAGCTCCTGCCGGGCCTTCCCCCCGGGTCATGTCAGCGTGGGAGCGCTTATGCCCTGCATGCGTCCCAAGCGGCCTCCTCGCAACTGGAACACCCAACCCTGGCTCCGGCCCGGAAGGCTGCGGCGTACGAAGCCTCTCCAGTTCTTGTATTTGGTGCACTCGGAGGAGATGTGCTTCTCGTTCGCGGAGAACTTCCTGGGCTCGACGAGCTTCCCTGTCCGCGTGGTCCACAGCGGCCTGGGCAACTTTGGTGATCATGCTCCTCCAGCGCCTGGCCCATTCACTGTAGTGCAGGTGCATCGGCTCATTAGCAGGTGGAACTGTACGCGGTTCATCTGGCGGGCGATAAATGGAGTTGGTTATCATCGCCGCTAGCCGGGTGAACAGGCTACCAAGTTGCCGGAACTCCCCCGCCGCCATATGTGCGGCCCAACGGACCGAGGGGGGATGCCCATATCTTTCTGCACCATAGGTGTCGTCAAGCACCCTTTGTGCAAGGGGTTGTAGAAGGTCGTGCGCCCAATCTATCCCAGTTGGCCTGGTCGTGGACGGCTCCGTGACCATGGAGAATATGGCCGGTTGTTGGTCTAGCCCCATCAACAAGTGTCCTGACTGGTTCGCCGCCCCTAACAGGTCACCATCGACTAACTCCTGCAGCGTTAGTTCCTGTAGTTGCTGGTCAGTCGCATCCGAGACGTAGTCACCCAACTCATGCGAACTCGTCCCAGGTGGTGGGGGATCCGCAATATGAGAGGTGGTGGTAGTCGTAGACGTCGGCCAACCAACCAGGATGTCACTCGAAGAGGCACCAAAGTTCACAATGTCACCCACTAAGAGGCTCCCAGTCGACCCTTCATCTCCAGCTGAATGCAAAGTCACCCCAAAGTGAGGTTCCTCAGTCAATGCTTCTCCAACTGAAACTGACGTCACCCCGGAATGAGTGGCATCAACCCCTGATGGGGCAGGATGACCTGAGGCAGCATCCCCGGTGCAGGAAGTCACCCAGGGTAGGGATGACACATCTAGGCTGGCGACGGATCCCGGGTGCTGCATGGTGTTCGAAGACAGAGATATTTGTCCACTCGAGGCCGCCGAGGTTGTTAGGGTCGTGGATGTCACAGTTGCACATGTGGCCATCCAGGTCGAAGGGGTCGTACTTGTGGATGCAGGCGATGGGCAGGTCGTCGTGATCGTCGGAGAGGTCAATGAAGTTATAGAAAGCGATCAGCACATAGACGTTGAGATTGTGCCGCAGGTAGAACTCAAAGTGGTCATAACACAAGGGGGTCGCCCCCCATACACAAAGCGCCCCAGGGCCATCACCGTACTCCAGAGGAGGCAGCGGAAAAGTGCTCCACCGAAGTAGGCAGAGCACCACATCGCCATGGCGGAGGGGAGGGGCACAGGTTCACTCGAGCAAGTCGGCTGTCACGCGCACGTCGTCCTCCATGTCAGCAAAGTGAAGGCTTCATTCAGGTTAGGGACAGGGTGACGGACAATCAACTCGCCCATATCGCCACAGATTTACCCATTCGTGATAGCAGTCTGTCTATGTCTGCCCCAGAGGAGGTCAGCATGCTTTAACCACTCCCCTCTGAGAGCTTGCCACCCGTCTCGATCACATGCCTGTTCCATCCAGTTCGTCCCCAAAGCTTCAGCCAGCTCCCTTTCAAGGTTGGCCGGGTGAAACGTCCGTGGGTGCCTAATGCCTCCTGCACGTGCAGTGATATGCTGCTGACCTCGCCACCATCGAAGACATCGCCAATGCAAGAACTTGGCTGCGATTCCAGGTTGTCCACCAATTCCTCTACCATCGTCTTCCCATTGGCGACACCAGTGCCCCGCCAGGCCGAACTGCAGATGACGTACACGCGTACTCCATCTGTCAAAGCTGCTATTGTGGAGCCACGCCCGCACGTGGCGCATGGTTCGCTGGTTCCACGCAAGCCATCCTTCATCTGGTCGACGTCCAAGATGGAAAATTTCCCGGAGCACATGCATTTGCATGGTGTTTAACATCTGGAGGTCATCAACCGCCCAGTAGACCGCCCCTGCCACCCACGTGATGACCCCTTCAACGAGCATCTTGAGCGCATACACCTTATTGTTCCAGGATGCCCTGCCACCAAGCAGCGCACGATGTTGCCCAAAGGCCGCCCGGAGTCGCGAGATGAGCTCCCGAGCTTGTCGACTCTGATCACCATCAAAGGTAAACTCGAGGCCAAGCACACGAATGGGTTCATGGGGAGGTCGCACTGGTATTACTTCATCACCGAACTTGACAACCCTGCCTTCAACATAGTCATCCGTGGAGATGATCGCGGTCTTTTTACTGGCAAGTTGCAACCCAAGGCTGTTGAGGGCACGATTAATTAACCCAAGTCTCGCGGCAATTCCACCCGGCGAAGGGTCCCAGAGAAAGAGGTCATCCTGGCACATGAGCAAGTCGACCTCAAGGTCCTCGATGGGCTTGGAGAGAAGTCTCCAATCTTGCCCTGCTCTCATTTCATCTAGCGCAGCTTCAAGTACCAGCGCAAACAACTCAGCTGATTCTGGCGCGCCCTGACGAATGCCAGTGGTGCAATGAATGCTGATTTGTTCACCGCCAGGTACTGGGCCTTCAAGAAAATTAGATTGTAGCTGGCCAATCAGAAACCGAGCCTCACGCCCCGGGCCCCAGGCCTACATTGGTCAATTTGGCACACAAGAACTTCGCAACCGAGCGCCGATCAAGTGCGTCGAAGGCGCCCCGTATGTCAAGTTTGGCAATCAGCAGTGGGAGGCGCCACTCCTTGCACATATCACGGAGTCGCGTGAAACACCCCGCAAGGTCTGCAGCTTGGCGACCTTTTCCACAACATGCAAACTCCGTACCTTTGCGAAGGGCTGGAAAGGTCCTAGACATCACAAGTCTGCTGGCCAGCTTCTGCAACGCAGAGGACATTGCAATGGGTCGGAGCTCCTGGGGACCAGTCGGCAGATCAACCTTGGCAAGCAGTGCCAACAACGAGTGTCTCCAGGATTCCGGAGCAAAGTTGTGGAAGATGGTATGGTTAATGACGTCCACAAAGTCACCCGCCAGGGTCTCATGGTCCACAAGCTTGCGAAGCAAATCAACCCCGATTTGGTCAGGCCCAACCGATGATTGCGTTTTCATCTTGTACAGTTCTTCCCTGACCTGGGCACATCCAAACGGCTCCCAATGATCGCCAAGCGGAATTCCAGCAAGCAACGCCTGCAAGTCTGCATCCCACTCATCAGGGGGAGGGCCACACATTTTGGAGGCAAGGTGTGCCTTGGTTGCCTCCGTGAGTTGTTTTTCCGTCCGCGACTCCAGCATTCGCCCCCACCAGCCGGACCTTTTGGATTTTTGAAGTTTCCGAGCTCGGTAGGCTGCCCAATCACCCTGTAGGATGTTGCTCACTCGAAGTTCTTCCCATCGGCGGCGGGCTTGCTTTCTCAGACGATGAACCTGTCTCCATGCTGGTTTGTCCCCAAGTTGTCGAGCTTCCTTGATGGCATCTTTAACTTCAGGAGGGTCCTCATACAGTATTTCACCCCGCGAACACTTCTGGTGCACTGCATGGCAAGTGTCACAATGTCATCGACGTCCACAAGCTGGGTGTCAGGCAGGGTATCAACGACAAAGCGTGCCTTGGAGGGCGTGCGCCATCTCCCTTTGGTGTGTTGTAGGAACACGCGAGTATGAAGAATGGCATGGTCGGTCCCAATTTTATGGCGTGCCTGAGCATCCACTTGGACTTCACCCACAGGAAGTTGGCGACACCAGATGGCATCAATGTGACGCCCCTCTCTGCGCTCATCCCTCGGGAAGTGAGTGGGTTTGTTGCGGTCATCCACCCTGGGGGAGACAGGTCGCAAACCCGCCCCCGCAAGTTGATCACAGAGGTAGTTGAGGTTGGCACTGCCGGCTAGGATCTCGCTTGGACCGTCTTGGTCATCGCCACCCCAGCGAATGCTTTCATTGACGTCGATTCCCAAGATGCAGGGATGCGCCCTCCATTTTCCCCGGAACGAAGTGAGAAACTGAGCAGCAGCTTCTTGGTAAACCTTATTAGTGACCCCCGTGTGTCCATGCATGGTCCCCAGAAGCACATTGCCTCGTCCTTTCAACTTAACAAGCACCGCGATCCCGCGCGTGGTGGCCTTCTTGGAGATCACTGAGTCAAAGACTTCGTATGAAATACCTATCGCAGTGCCGCGCCATTGGTCTTTGCAACGGTGGGCAATCCAAAAATGTGTGTCACTTTCCTGTTCGGTCCATCCAAGATCTCCCCTTGCCACTTCCTGTGTTAGGAAGATGTCGGTGGTCGGTTCAACCAGGGCAAGTTTATCCACGGTCTGACCACCCAAGTTCCAGCTGGAGATTCGGAGGGAGCTGGCAGTTCCTACGGAAGAGCCAGTGGTGAAACTGTTGTTCGTGCCCAATCATAGCTCTCTTTGGAAGGCCGAGACGGCCTCCGCCCAGTCGACTCCGGTGAGAGAAGTTACCGCACGAACATCTACCCACCCTTGGTTGAGCTGGAAGAAATCATCAGGTCGATCTGCATCTTTTCGGTGCGTGGCACTTGCCAGCTTAAGTGGGCCATGCCAAATCGTGCCTGTTCCCCAGTCCACGTCGTACCCTTCTGGTGTGAGCGCTTCGGCATTGAACGTCTCTCCATCTTCCTTCTTTCCAATGGCAGCAAGCCGCATCACCACTCTTCTTGCCAAGGAACACATTGCCGACCTCTTCCGGGCTTCGGGGGTTTTCATGAAGGACGCCCAAACAATTTTGCCATCACCAACCTCACCCCGAGTGCTGTCCAGGGCTATCTTGTTGTGCCGGATTTTGGTGATGACCTCCCACATTCGGGCTCGTAGGGCTACCGAGGTTTCTTGATCTCGTTGTTTGAATCGCAAGAGTCCGAAACTTCGTCGGGGGCCAAACACCACCAGGGAGGTGGAGTCAACCAGGTTCACGAAGGTCTCGCTTTTAAGAATGGCTTCCGCCTCATTCTGTATGATTGCCCGCTTGGTGTCCGGTAGCCATCCACCCAGGATCAGGGAGTTCTTGTCCTCGTCGCTGAGCTCGTGTCGGCGATCTTCCCCAGGATGTTGAATTCCTTGACCAGCGCCTTCGCCAGGATGACGTCGTCCCTTTGTGTGATTAAGGTAGTCCTGCCACGGGTCCGGTCCATTCTTGCTCTCCGCCAACTCCGACTTGGCCGCCATCTCATCCACACGAGTCCGCAGCTTAACCAACTCACCCTCGAGCTCCTCAGTTTTGCGTGCTGTGGCATCCCCTTTGGCCTGTACTCCTGTCACCCGCTGATCACTTTGTTTCTGCCTTTGGTGCACCGCCTTGAGTTCTTTGCCCTGATTCTTAACGACTCCTTCAACATGCTGAACTCGGGACTCAATGTTCCCCCAGGCGGCTTTCATTTCTTGCAGATGTTGACCGAGAAGGGCTCTGAGTTCCTCTGTGGACATACCACCACCACCCGACGAGCTAGGTTCACCTCCTCCTTCACCAGGTCGTCTCTCCACTCCAGGCCTCCTGCGTTTTCCACCTCCACCCTGGTTCTCGGCAATGCCCCCAGTCTCCATCGCCCACGGACCGAACATAGTCTCGAGTTCACTTCCATCTGCAAGACTGGTGGGGCTGGCAGGGACAGGGACATCACCCCCATCCAACTCCTCCTCCATTCAGGCACAAATCTTCACCCCTACGACAAGGAAGCTGAATCAGTTGGGCACTTGAGCCAAAATGGCTTGAGCCGTAGCCAGGGTTTAGGGTTTAGGGTTTAGGATCCATAAACCCTGAACACTACACCTAAAATCCCAAACCATAAGATTTCGGATACGGTTTTCCCAGGTATTCTAGTAAAAATGTGTGTGTGTGTATATACATACATACATACATACATACATACATACATACATACATACATACACCTTAACTAGCGAACAGGGTTGGCTTTGGGGTTACGACTTCTACGATTTCCAGGACATTCTCTGTGACTGCCCCCCACACTCGCTTCTGAGCAAGGAACCATCAACTCCTTGAGGGTTTAGGGTTGAGGGCTTAAACTCATGCACCACGACACTCCAGTCGCTATACAAAACCTAGCCCCTCACCCTCTTCCCCGTAGACTCCTAACACATGTGAGCCCTGGGGCCTCCTACGGGTTAGACATTACTCCACTAGCCTGCGCAGGGTAGACGACACCTCGAGGTACTCCGCCACTCCGCAAGGGAGTGTATGTTAGATAGCTCGAAACTTTCGACCCGGGGATGTCAACAGCTTTGGGCTCAGGGTGAAGGCTTCGGGGTGGAAGGTCTGCTTAGGGCCTTGGGTAAACCCTACCTTAACCTGCCAGAACCTACTTTTTCGTAGGGTCCCTATAAACTCCATATTAGGGTTTATAATAGGAGCCTACAAAAAAGTAGGGTTTGGTAGGTTAAGGTAAATACCCTAAACCGAAGGTTCAGGGCCATCTTCCTGGCCTCGCGCCGCCTCCGGCACGCCAGATGGTCATCGGAAGCGGCTCTTGCTGCTGCCCAAAGGAGATCGCCTCGCCTGCATCTATCCAAGGACTAAACTATTTCCCCCTAGACCCTAAACCCTAAACCCAAAGCCCTAAACAGCGAAACCCTAAACCCTAAACTGTGGCCTTGTGGAATTTCGATGGGAGAGCCCTAAAGAGGAGGAGATCACCAAGCCAACCTAAAGCCTGTAGCTTCATTAAACCCCGAACCATGAAGCTGAAAACTGAAATGGTTTAGGGTTTCGGGTTTGGGAATTAAGGTTTAGGGTTTATAAATAGGGGCTTATGAGATTCCTGAACTCAACCGCCGAGCCGCCGCAAGTGGCAGTGGATGTATTGCCATGACAGCGCCACCTGCAAACACGAGGAGATGTTGCAGTATAAACTGTTGATTGTAAATCATGTGCTATATAGTATAAGCTACATACTATATGTTATTAAATATTACATATTATATATACGAGGCTCTTATTCAAATATCCTTCGTGAATGGCTCGACCGAGCATGACGTTGAATGCGCTGCTCAGGCTGTCAGCTGAAGCCGACACAAGCTCTTCGAGGGGTTAGGCCGTGAGGTTTTGGGTATCCGGGTGGTTTACCTAGGTTTAACGAGACCGTGACTCGATCGCTGCAGCGTTCACATCCCTCCTACGGTACGGGCATGTGGTTAACTCCCATGACCTCCCCACATAAGGTGGAACATGCTATGCTTATACTTGCATGCAGGCATGCCAGGGCTGATGTGCCAGCATTTCCCCTCCCAGTGGCAATGGAAGTCTGAACATCGCCTCTTCCATGAGAGTTGCGTTTTGGCTCCGTAGAACTTCCTCCGTGATGGTGTCAATCAGTGTTTGTATCCTGCACTGGGCGAGTCGGAACAAATCACCATCGGAACTCGACTCAACTTTCACACAAAACACAAAGCAATAAACAACTCGTCATACAGAGATGGCTTTCTACTTTCTACAGACAAAGAGCCAGAGTTATCTAGCAGCTATCCATGTCAGACTGGGTGTCAACTTGCAATGCATGCTCCAGACTGAAAACCCAAAACATCCGTGCCTGAATTCTCCCTCTCCCTTCCTTCCTCTTCCCTCCCTCTCTCAATCTATCTCTGCCTCTCCCTTCTCTAGACTGAAGCTGACCATAGCTGTCTCTCTCTCTGTCTCTCTCCCTCCGAGACAACCTACGCAGACTCCACTCACCACGTTGTATGACTAGCACAGCTGTAGATACGACCTACAGAAAGGGTGACCAAGCGTGCGAGCATCGGCAAGGACGGAACTCGTCTGTCACCGGCGCCACTTTGCCTCTCAGGCTCCTCGTTGCTGGTTTAGGGGTTGGGGTTTCCTGGCCCTTGTAGTAGCCGTTGGTCGGAGTGCAGGCAAGAGCTAAACGGTTGTTAGTGCTCATGAGAGAGACAATGACAGAGCTGGACGCAATCAATCCTTGAGTCTTGCTTTCCAACTTCAACTAACGGCCGTATGGCGCGGACTGTACTAACCACACCCAAAGAGACTGAGACCCGCAGGATCTAAACCCCCGGCTCCTCCCGATTCAGTAGCCGGCAAAGGGAGCGATATCCAAACCAATCTTCGGTCGTCTCCAGATGCTCGAATGCACGAAGCGCAGGCATTGGACTCGGAACCTCCAGGTTCAGACGTGCGGATGGGTTGGCGGGTCCAGGACTTCGGGCGTAGGTTACAGGTTGGGTACTGCCCCCATACAGTAACAATCTATAATCGATGGCCTAATGCATTATAGATTATGAACATGATTTAACTGTTGCTGAGTTGGGGCAGTACCTAAGGTGTAGGCTTGAAAGGCAAGGGAACTCTAAGACCTCAGTCTGCGTCTCGAGTTTCAGGGTCTAGGGGCTTCGACATGTCCTCAGAATGTTCAGGGATCGGCTACGTATGGGCTCTAAGAGGGCTTTGCGTTAGGACTCCAAGACTTGCAGTGGGAAAGTTTGTAACAAATGCAGAGAACTGCAGGGAAGGAAGACATAATGCTGCCCTCCGATCTGAACTGAACCCGATCCAACGGCATCGTTATTGCAAATCCGAAAACCCTGCGATATCTGACTTCAGCCGGCCTTCATGGCCACCACAACACATAGGGACGCCGAATCAAAGTGCTTCAGACGGTCGTCCATGAACAACTTCGCAGCATGTTCCCAATGCCTCGTTCGCTGGACGAATCGAATAACCCGTGCAAGCTCTACAGACATGAACGAGGAAAAACCCAACATGATCATACCTTTGCGGATGAGATGATGTGCGTCTACAGGCTGGCAACTACCTACTAGACTCGACGAGACGAGAAGTAAGGGTCAACATCCACAGTGATTGAGGAGAAGTGGCAGCCGGCAGGCTAACCTCACATATGAATCGCCAGCATTCGCTCGACCTCAACAAAATTAGCCCTCGAGCCTGCTCGTCGCAATCCAAAGACACAGTCTTGAACCCGAAACCAACTCAAGTGAGTGGCCCGCCGTCGACGTAGGAGTTTGCGGCCTCCTCTGCTGACGTGGCACTCACATGCATACGATCCCCGCCTTCAACGCCCAAGCCGACAGGGGGATAGGGTCATAGCAGGAGTTCAGAGGTCAGTTTGGGGGAACTTTAGAAACCCGCAGACTGCCTTCGATTGACCTTTGAGCCTGCAGCACGTCAACGTGATCAATATCTCAAAGACAGCCGCCGGTACAACGGCAACGCTCTATCTACACACAAAACATCGATCTAGCGGCTTTGACTCCCATGGATTCTCCATCGATGTTTCTGCCGTCGATATCAAGAGCATACTGCCAAAGAGTTGTTCTAGAGGATCCGCAAGATTTCACGATTCTTGTGGAGCTGTGCACCCGGCTTAGGTGAGACGTCATACGATTTCGAAACCAGACAGGTCCCGCGCACAATCAAAGTTGAAACAGCAACATGAAGTTGGATTTTGAGTGTAAGATGCGAAACTCTCTGGTCAACAACCTTACTACAATCCCAACACCCCGAGCCCAAAGGTGCCCCAAGCTTAAACCCTAAACCCTATAAACCCTCAAGCTCTCAAGCCTCAAGCCCAAACCGACAACGCTACAATCTCAGACGGTTTAGGGTTTCGGGTTCAGGGTTTAGGGGGCATACTCTAAGGCACAGGATCCTTACAGATAACCCCGACAGAACCCTCATAGAATTCTTTTGGAACTATGGAAGCCTTGTAGGAACCTTTCGGGAGCCCTTATGAAGCCCCTGTCGAAACCGAACTCCCCAAAAAACCCTAAACCCGAAACCGTGGCTCTTGTAAAGACCCTACTATTGATGATAAAAACCCTGCATTACCTTAAGGACCCTACACTGGGAATTATTCTGGGCAATGCAGGAATTATGTAAATTATGTCATCAACAACCGTATGATCGCTTGTGCATCTCTCTCCTACCAACTCTGGGCTCCTCCACCTTGCTCAAAAGCAGGAAGAGCTCTGCAGCTGTTCGGAAGTCGCCCATGGTCCCTGACAGCGGGGACGGTACGGTGGTGCGCTCAAACCTGGCCATTTGCTTACGGGCTGCGTTGGGTCCCTAGAATTCCCTACAGGCTTTCTGTGTCACCTGTGCCTCCAGTCTTGGTTGCTCCCAAGCTCTCAAATCCAACTCCAAATACCACGAACCCCCCATCCTGAACGGTCAGCAACCGAAACTCTAAGAACGGGCAAACACACAGAACCCCGAAAGCCCCGACTCCTGCGCGGCGGAAGCAAGCAGCTGCGGTGTCCCAAAGGGTACAATCTCTGAACCTCGCGGCTGTCGAATTGTGAGTTTAGGGTTTAGGGCTTGATCGGGAAAGCTGGGATGAGGAGTTAGTCACTGCTTCAGTTTAGGATTCGGAGCGCGGGCTCCGCTCTAGAGCCTCGGAGGCTGGATCTAGGGTCTAATGTGCCGGCCTGAATAAGGTTTTGGGCTCCTTCATAGCAAAATCATAATTCGGAAAGAACCGAAAGGAATCATGTTGGTAAGTATTTAGGCTTCTATATTAGCACTTCGCGGGTGAAAACAGAGTCGAAATGTTTGGGTAGGCAAACTTCAGATTCACTTTCGGAAGTGGTGCCCGTCTCTTGGTTGCCAAGAAGCTTCGTAAACTCCGCTGAGCAACGTGGAAGGA